AAGATATATATATATATATATATATATATATATATATATAGTATAATTTTAGATTCTCATAATTGATGAGTCATGTGCAAGAGTAGACAGAGGTACAGACTTTGCTTTATAGGGTTAGGAAGGTTTTTTACAGGAAATTTTTTATTGTATTCATCAAAGAGAAAGAGGCATATCAGAGAGAGAAGAGAGTCTATGCAGTATTAAAAACCTGACTGAAGAGTGAAAGTTCTAATTTGATATATAACAATTGGCATATTTCATACAGGTTACAATGCCCAGAGCTATTCTCTTGATACCAGAATTAAACTAAACATGTAGACAATTATAGAATTTCAGAGAACATAAAGACATTTCAGAGAAAGTAATTACTATACAAATGGTAAGAAAAGCAATTAAGACAAGGCAGCAACAGCATCAAATTTGTGTTTAATAAAGTGATTGACAGGCACAGCACAAATGACAGGATAGTGAACAGACTGAAGGCTGAGGAGCAACAGAATGTCTTCCTAGTAATACATACTAGATGTGGAACAAGCATAAGTTATTCTCAGCTGACATGATGGGAGGTAGACACAATACACTTATATTGGGAAGGAGAATACAGAAAACCTCAACAATTCCCAGAGAAATGTGAAGAAAGAATACCTGTGTGGTGCAATTCAGAAAAGTCCTACTAAGCTTTGGGAATATAGGAATATAATCTAATATAAATAGTTCTATCATAGGTAAATTAGGAGAGTAATCTTATACTGTATATTGTCAATGACACAAGAAAATAAAGGTAAGGAAGACATACAACACAAAGTATAACTGTGTTTTACTCTTACATTCCAAGTAAAGAGAGGTAGAGGAAACCAACATTAAATAATTAAGAAATGCAGGTAAATGAAGGAAAAGTTGAAATCAGTTTTTATGACTCTGTATTAAATGAAGAACAGCAGACTGCAATCACAGCCACATTGAAAATACTCCCCCTTCCATTATACAGGCAATGGCAAATATACCATATGAAACAAGAGTTTATGACAGAGACAGAAAGAGAATACATTTTGGCTCAGTGAACTGCCTGGCTTCCTGAATGGATTTGTCAGGTCAGGACTTCTCTGACTGTAGAGAGAATAGAGAAGCATATGATATTTCAGAGTTCAAGAGAATAGATAGTGGTCTTATGTCAGATATAAAAGAAATAAATAAGGAACCGAGGAAAGAGTTTTCTATAGAAAGATTAGATAATCATTATAGTAGATTAATAGAATAATAAGGATACACTTGATATAACAGGTAGTAGGAAATAACATCTAGTCTATGAACTTAGTCAAACTTAGAGACATTCTGTCTAGTACTTCTGTAACCACAAGGCTTTGGGAAACCAATTTTAAGGAAAAAGATACTGAGATAAAAGAATTGATTTTTATCATAATGTTAGATTTTACTTCTCAGGGAATTCTATGTTTACTGGTTGTGTTTCTTTTCTTTTAATTTGATATACTTATGCAACCATGGAAGATGCAAGAAAAACATATATGATGAAAAGATTTTGTGATCAATGTTTAATTCATATGAGGAAAATGAACTTGTTTATAAATAAAGCCTGTGAGAGATGTAGGTTGTCAGAATAGGTCAAGCCATCCTGAAATGTGCTTCCTCCATGTCCTGTAAAACAAACCTAAGATGTATCCCAAAGCTGATTTCTTCATCATAGCTCTTTCATCCACTTACTTTAGAACCTAGCCTCATCCATAGACAGACTCCAGCAACCATAGGCCTTTAAATACAATAGGTACTGTATACACATCCTAGTATATACACTACAGTATACAGTATTGTTTTCAATAATTAGAACCCTGCTACTTAACTCATAAAAGCATCCAGTAGAGCACACCAAACTCTAACAGCATATAAGTTTCTAAATTAAATAAACACTAATGAACAGAAAATCCCAAGAGTGGGGCACTCTGCCAGGTCTTCCTCCAACCAAGGCTCATAATTGACCTTGTAATGGATGCCTTACTGCATGGTAAGGCCCATCTCTCCAATGAGCAATGAAGTATCCAGATTCCCAGCTCTATAGAGCCACACATTGAGCTTCAGTTGTCCTGACCTTCAGAATGTCAACTTGGGAAAAGTGAGTCAGGCATAGGGAATGGGGACAACAGATGCAGAAAGAACCACCACAAGACAGGATTCTATCAAGTGGCAAACTTTACTTTTCTCATGCTAACTTGTGTAGTCAGCAGAGCAGGATATGGGGAGGGGTAGAATGGGTTGTTTGTGAGCCAGGTGTTAGTGTAGGCAGGATACTAGGAAGCCACAAAGAGTTTGTTTGGCAGGGTAAAGAGTTCAAGAGTAAGAGGTCCAGGAAGGGTTGCCTAGGTGACTGAGCCTGTGGGTGGAGGACTGGGTCAAGTTGTTTCTTTTCTTGAGCTGAGGTTCTAAGGTACTTCTATGTAAAGGTTAATTATGTGGCCTGCCAAGCATGGCCTAGGATCTCATGCTAAGCCCTGAGATTTGGCTCCCAACATAGGTTTAATCATAGAATGGGTTGTTTGTGAGCCAGGTGTTAGTGTAGGCAGGATACTAGGAAGCCACAAAGAGTTTGTTTGGCAGGGTAAAGAGTTCAAGAGTAAGAGGTCCAGGAAGGGTTGCCTAGGTGACTGAGCCTGTGGGTGGAGGACTGGGTCAAGTTGTTTCTTTTCTTGAGCTGAGGTTCTAG